TTAAGGATGGCCGTCTGGCCCTTGGTGAGTTTCATCTTCCAGTATCKGTAGACAAGCCTCCCCAGGGATACAGCGTTCTTTCTCCAGAGGTATGTGGKTTCTTAATCAGTAATGCTAAAGTAATACAGTTACCTTTCGCTAGTTAAAATAGTAAGAACCATTTATAAGAAATTACTAAGTAAAGGCGGCTAAATACAAGATACAAAAACCATCAACTTGGCGCGCAACATTGTTTCTGTTCAAGTTGATCATCGGAGTTTATCGAAGTTTATCGTTCATCATCAACTTGTCATTCAACAAAAATACATCGTGAAAAACGTGAAACATAGGTGCTCAACTTGAACAGAAACAATGTTTCGTGCCAAGTTGATGGTTTTTGTATCTCGTATTTAGCCGCCTTAACCTTATTATTACAAACATTTCATGTACATGTATGTGTACCAAAAGGCTTGAGGAGCTAATTGTGTATGTATGTTGTGTACARAACTTACAGTGACATCTTGTTAAATTGAGTTTTGATGCAGTATGGAAATAGGATGCTAGTACTGTAGCTGTAGATCATTGTTGACTCACCTTGATTGTCACTGATATTATCATTGTTGGTGTTATATTATTATCTAGTATCAATTAATTGTTCTTCTGTTCTTTTTTAGGTACAATTGCCAGGTATGAAGTGGGTTGAAGGTCATAAAGGGGTGTTTCATGTTGCAGTACGAGCTGTGTCTTCAGTTCATACACAGGTATATCTAACAAATAGCTTCTTTTTTTCATGGATTCTGTGCTCTGATCAATACACTTTTGAAAAAAGTGAGCAGAGAAGTCCTGGGAACGAGGTTGAGGTCGATCCTCAGAGAGCAGAGACCTTTGTTTTGGACTGGAGATTTCCACGACATTTAAAGAATGGAATTATTTTATTTGTTACAGGACCATCATATTCATAAGTTCCTTAAGATGTGCCATCAGATTGAAGGACGGTTGTCTTCTCCATCAAGAAACACKGACAGTAATGTTGAAATGGTGCTTCGTAAAAGTATTGTTGACTTGGTAAAGTCACGTGAAGAGCCCCTTGTTCGCTATCTTCACCTTATACTGGATAAGCTTATCCTTCTTCTTGTTCGTCCTCCTGTCATCTCTGGGACTGTTGGTAAGGCATTCTTGTTAAAAGAGACTCTTAATTGACTAAAATCACTAAAAATAATCCTACATGTAAACCCAATTAAACAAATCTAGGCTGCACCATTCATTATTATTTTCTTGAGCATGAAATGGTCACATGATACTGAATATGCCATACTGGATGGCAAAAGAATGTAAACAACCTCAAAAACAAAAGGAATGCAGACTGTCAAACTTTTCTTTGTTTTAAACATACCATAGCGAATTTTGCCATCCAGTATGGCGGTTTTAGTGACATGTGATCGTTTCATGCAAAAGGACAATTAAAATTTTATTGAGGTTCCTGGGAGTTTTTGTSTAAATTGATGACAATTGTCATTTCAGTGAACATTGGTCAAGCAGCATTTGAATCACTGGCACAGATTGTCCGTCGACTGCATGAATTGTTAGAGTTCAACCAAGATGAGCACAACCGAAACAATYTGCTATGTTCCTATGTTACGTATGTGTTTTCTGCACCGTACACTCCATCACCAACATCAACTCCAATCTTTCCTGGTACAGTAATTGTTTTGTTGGAGTATTTCATGTATCTTTCAATTGCTTATGGATGTTGACATATATTTGCAGCAAAAATAATAATCATTGACGAGATTGGTTGGCGAATACACGTCATTTTACACAAAAGACTTATAGCAGTTGTGTCGCCCATATTTCGGACCGTTAGCTAGCGCACAATTTTAAAGACATTTCGCACAGAAAAATGATAACTGAGAAATAGTACAATGAGGTTACTCACTTGTTTGACCGATGTTTTTTTTTTCGAAGTTAAAACTGGGTTTATAGAATGATTTAAAGACCATACGAAAAAAATTATTTTACTTTTACAAGTCTGAAATATAACTGTAATACACATACTCAGATATACACCTACTTGCGAAAACGTTGGCATAGAAAATAGGACATTTGTATTTAGTAAAAAGGAATAAATTAAAAAGACAAAAGAAGGTCACTGAGGCTGAACGCTTTCTTTTGTCTTGTTTTAATTTATTCCTTTTTACTAAATTCAAATGTTCTATTTTCTATGACAACGTTTCTGCAAGTAGGTGTATTGATAATATTTTGTCCTAACAGTATTGTAAACTATTTATACATACAGTAGTTAAAGAGTTTTCATATCGTTTAGTTATTGGTCTCTGTTTACAGAATCCAATCTCTGCCTTTCCCATACTTACAATGTTAGTACTCCATGCTCATTTAAGGAAGCGAAGATACGTCAGTTGTCAGTAAGGACGTCTCATTGATTTTATTRTTATCTGTTTATCAAGGTGATGGTAGTCGTCCTGTAAGTATGACCAGTGGGTCTTCATTAATTCCTCCAATGCACTCTAAATCCAGCCTCAGTAACAGCAACCCACAGCTTAACGCAAGCAGTCAGGGGGATGGTCAGGCAGGTCACRCACAAAACTGGGAGAACGACAAGGCAAAGGCAGGTGTAGAAATGGCTGGTAATAGAAACAGCATGGCTGAGCCACGCTTGGGAGCTATGAAYATACCCGGTCTTCCTGCAAGCAACAAAAAGGTAAACTGCATGGACCTGTYGTTTCTGCTACTGTTTTTTCAGTGGGGTTTATTTAGTATGAAAGGTKCAGTGTGAAAGGCTTTTTAAAAGATGAAAATTGCCAAAGTTCATTATGACGTCACATTAAACATTGTATTGTTTTAACGCTAAGAGCTTATGACATAAGCCGCACAGAAACCGAAACAGAAGCTTGTTCACACTTGACAAAAGCACGTCCTTCTGCTTATGAWGTCCCGGTTCRCACTCATAATCTTTCAACATAAGCAGAAACACAAGCARAAGAAAATGAATTTTTTTTCATTTTCATCTGCTTCTGCCTCTGCTTCTRTTTTTCCCRRTTCACACCGRGAGAAAGAATAAGAGAGAAGGAATAAGATTGATATCATCGTTCATGTGCTTTTGTTTCAGAGTGTTCATGAAGAGCTTGCTTTACAGTGGGCTGTCGCTAGCACACCAGTCCGAGAGGTTGCCATGAAACATTCTTGGTTTTTCTTTGAACTTATGGTAAGCAAAAMACACAGAGACTGACCAATAACTCGGCATACCAAGTCACTTACGCTTTTCATCTTTTTCAACCATTCCCATGAGATTTAGAAGATTATAGACCGGTGGCCATGTTGGAGGACTAAACAATTATAGATACTATTGAGAAATCCTTTGTTGAAGTTCCTCCAAGATGGCCGCTGTGACGTATAGTGAAAACGAAGAATACTTCAAGAGATTATTTGTAAATAATATTTTGCGATATTATGTGCTCTTTCAGGTAAAGAGCATGGCTCAACATCTCGACAATACAGACCGCTTCTTTCTTCCACGCAAAGCTCGTTTCCCAGAGCAGTTTCTAGACGATGTACGTGCCCTTGTCAATACCACCATTGCAGAGATYGTCAGCAAAAACAAAGACTTTACCTTTGCACAAGATTTGAACTCAAGTCTTGGGTTTTTCTTRTACGATTTGTTGTCACTCGTCGACCGTGGATTTGTTTTTGACTTGATAAAGCATTACTGTAAAGAGGTAGGTTAAAAAACGTCTCTACAGCAGTAAACATATAAGCAAATACAGACGATGAAAAATGAMCAGCGACGCCATTATGTGTAGCAAAGCATGATGGTAAGTCTTCATACTTTTTTTACACTGGAAAAAATCGCGCGCTTTAAAGGTTGTAAATTTAATGTAAATATGATGTAAATGTCCAAAATTCTGTAAATTCAATGGAAATCATATACATCAAATTTACAGAATTTTGGACACTTACATCACATTTACATAAAATTTACAACCTTTAAAGCGCGCGATTTTTTCCAGTGTTATGCCCGCTAAAACGGTGCTCCTGAGCAGGGTTTGCTTCTTCTAAGCAAAAATAGAAAATATTTTTTACCGTTTCTGCTAAGAAAATGTAAAAATCGCTCTTGGGGAGATATTTAAGGGTCTCTAATAAGTACGAGTACTACAACTACCATCATGCTTTGCTGAACAAAATGGCGTCGCTTCACACTGCGTATTGTAAAACTGCAAGCTGCTCTTTCTTCCCAAGAGCTATTAGGCTATTGAACTTACTACCAAGTGAATCAGTGGCGTCTTTTTCACTATCGCTATCTTTTAAAATCCAGGCTATCAGATCAATTAGAGGACAAACAACGAATAKATTTTGTGCACATTTTTAGATTAAAAATTGGCGAAAATCATTCTTTTCTCACAAGACGTGATTAACGTGTCAGAACAGTGTTGAGGTTCTCTTATTGACACACTCTAATCAGGCAATTTTGCGCCAGAATTCACATAAGTGTTGTAAAATCTAAGATTTAAGATGCTGATCATAGATCTCACTCCCTTACAAACTTTAAAGGTTGTCTTTCATCTAMTTTTCTTACAGGGCAATTTATAAGTAAACTTTACGTTTTCAGATGCTCTATCAAGGTGGGCTCCATGCTGGACTTGCGCAGCTACGACTGGARCTACTGCGCATAGTCAGTAGCCACGAGCACTTTGTGACGTTGAACCTTCCTTTCCCGACTGACCTGTACCCCTCAGAACCATCGTCCCCCACATCATCCATGTCATCTCTAACATCAGGGGGAACATTAACACCAGCAAATAGCATGGCAGAGTTATCAGTGGCTTTTAGGCAACAACATTTCCTTGTTGGACTGTCTCTAGCTGAATTGACTCTCTCACTGGAAAGCGCGTAAGGTTTTTTAGAATATTCATGAAATCTCAAATGGTTGCGTGCATCTGATGTGTGATATAAACGCGGTGGGAGGTGGAGAGTCTTGTTTTACTAATTCAAAACGTAAACCAAATTCTAACATCCTTAACTTGAACATGTGCTTAGAAAAATCAATATGAAACGGGAAAGAAAATTATAAGRGGGATCAGATTTTGTGATTGCATACCATAATGARTGCTCATGCACAARGAACTGAGTACGGGGCGCAGGGGAAACAAAGGATTATCTATATTGTCTCCCCATAAGCTCGTTTTCAATTTATTTTTTTTTATTTCTTTCACTTTCACAAAAAAGTTTCAGAGTGTAATAGGACTTTTACCCCGTTGACCTACTTATAAATTTCTTATTGTTGCTTATGAATTGCTTATGAATATTAGCTTCTAATATATTCAACTGTGTTTTTTTCAGTGATTTCGCGTTACAGTGCCAAGCCATTGACTGTATTAGGGATTTACTAGCATGTCAYGATTCAGACACACGATACGACGACCCAGTCTGCCGTAGCCGGGTTGCAGCCCTATACCTCCCCCTGATGGGAATTGTTATAGACTCGCTGCCTCAGCTCCATGGTTACAGGGCTGAAGAAGCTGAAGGGCTTAACCCAGATGTTGCTATGGCAATAGCTACATCAAGTATAGCTTCGCGATACGATACACGGCCTGAACTTGCTTCACAGGTTGGTTAAGATAACCATTCCAGAATCTAAGTCTTGGAATTAAAATTTATAAAATGCCTGTTTCACTTAGCTCTCCAAGCCACAACCGCTGACACAGGAGTCGACTCGTAATCTTTTGATGGGTTTCCTGTGGGTGCTAAAAAACATGGATCCTGCAGTGTTGAGGMTGTGGTGGTCTGATCAGGAGCCTCCAAGGTCAGTCTCACATTTTTGTATGTATATCAGGCTTATATCATCTCACAACTTGATTGGCTTGAAGTGGAAGCACACTGTGCTCAGTTACTTGCAAGTCATCAATTTTAAAAGGCTACTTGGATGAAAATTGCGAAACATTAGAAAAGACTTAGAAATCAAATAGACCTATCCATATGGGTGTAATAATCATGAAGCAACAGATTTCAAGAAGATATTGATACAATAATTTGGGCAAAAAATGTTGGAGTAGATGACGTCATTTACTCCATCCTTTTATTCCATCTTTTGAATCAAAATTTCTCTGATGTGGGATAATTCACTAACAAATATTTTCCCGCAATTGCTTTTAATAGATATAAATGAGTCATATATTTGTATTTCTTCAAGTTTTGAAATAAAGCCATTTTCATGCAAGTAGCACTTTAAACGAATATCTTGAGAAGTGTTCATGCAAAAAGCGTTGACAGTTTTATCACATTTGGACGGGAATTGTGGGAGCGAAACGTCGACACACGGACTTTCACTTTTGAGAACTATATCACCGAGCACGCGTATTTTCCCGCTCTTCAAATTGCTTATAGTTTCAAATTAAGAAAAAATTCAAATTGAAATTGTTGCTATTAAGAATTGAGATATGGCATAATTAAAAGGATTATTGTCGCAGAGGGTAGAAGAAACACTGTATATCAAAGAAAACGTACATGAGCTATCATTGATACATGGTATTTGTCAAAATTAGATTCAGAGAGAGAGAGAGAGTATTAATAAGACAAATTTGCACTGCTTCTAAGCATTTATTCCCATTTTAAACAAACTGTGACGTCATTATGCGATAGGGCTATTCATTTCCTTCATTTGATTGATGTCGTTATTTGACTTAAAAGTGCTACTTGCATGAAAATGGCCTTATTTCAAAACATCAAGCAATACAAATATATGACTCATTTAAATCTATTAAAGACCATTGCGGGAAAATATTTGTTTTGGAATTATCCTACGTCAGAGAAATTTTGATTCAAAAGATGCAAGAACAAAAGGATGGAGTAAATGACGTCATCTACTCCAACATTTTTAAGGATTCAAGGTCCTAATTATTAAGGATTTGTATCAATATCTTCTTGAAATCTGTTGCTTCATGATTATTAGACCCATATGGATAGGTCTATTTGATTTCCAAGTCTTTTCTAATGTTTCGCAATTTTCGTCCAAGCGCATATCATATATTATGTTTATTCATAGGCTGGGCTTACTACTAGATGTCCTACACATGTGTATCACTCAATTTGAATACAACGGAAAGAAAGAAGTTCGAGAAAAAAGGAATGTCACTGCTCCTCGAAGCAATAGGACTGTCACCGATAAAAAGAAACTAGAGGAAATGCTTCTTGGACAATCAGGAGCTGCCGCTGAAATGAAGCAGAGACATTCACGTAACATCAGTGAGTCAATTTTACTAATAAACCAAAAATTATTGGATGGACCTTAACGTAATATGAATGTTCCGACGTGCATTACATAGACCTTTTCTGAAATACAAAATCATGGTGCATTTTGGTCTAGCTTCGGTACAAACAACACGCCACATTTGGCAGCATGAAGATGTTTGTACCGAATCTAGACCACAATGCAAKGCAAACTGCTATCTCAGTAAAGGCCTATGGCGTTGGTGGCGATTCAGGGGAACGTCAGAATAGAAAACGGGAAAATGAGATCCCGCATTCTTATTGGTTAATCTCAATTCCGCCCCTTCTTCCAATTTGCCTCCCATAGAGCCGTCATGGCGGTTTTATAGACGTGTCCATTTTTAGTTGTTTTTTGTTGTTGTTGTTTTTTTCATCGGTTCCGTGATAGCCTCTTAACTATCGATTACTTTAGAAAAGCAAAAGACAATTCGCCGCACTATCGTCCGCCATGTTTGTTTATGATTTGATTTGGTTTTCCGCGAATTTCCTGCGTTATGTCGTTATGTCGGAAGTGACTGCTCATTGGTGGAAAAAACACTGTTACCCAGTACACATCATGGACGGTCGTCAGTTGGTTGATTGTTTACTGTGTAGCTTTTTATTCATTTGCTGTCTTGTTCATTTGCAAGAGCATTATTTTTGAATTTTATTTGTTTTTATTTATTTATTTGTTTTTTTTAATTTCAGGTCAATCTCAAGGAAATATCGAACCCAAATTGCGATGGCGCAAAGATATGACCCAATGGAGACAAGCAATTGACATGCAAGAAAAGTAAGATATTTTCCAAAATTATTGGTTTGAAGTGAACACCAATCTATTTGTTCCCTTGGATATAGAATACCCGTTCATAATCTGATGATCATTTAGAAAGCGTTTTTTCRTGGTTCCTTAGCCTAGCTCTCGTTATTAGTATCACTGACACTAACTGAATCTGCACACAAGTCTAGTGGATCTTTAACTTTCATTTATTTTTAAGAGTCTGCCCAGAAGTTGCCATTTCATCCAAAATTGAAGGCATGATGTGCGCTGAAGTGAACATTATAGTTTTGGACACACTGGAATTAATTGTACAGGTAAACCAAGAAAATACATAAGATTTACTTTATTTCRCATGCT